TTGGCTTTCAGCCACCGAAATTCTGGTCTTGTTATTAAAGAACATTCCATTTAAGCTTGTCTCGGCTTTCGTTACCGGACGGAGGAGGGGGTCAGAACAGAACCCTAACACTGAGAAAGTGAAAGACTGTAAGACATCCGGCCATGTTATTAAATCACGCAACATCCGAACCTTGTGATCATCTGCCATTTTCTTCCCAGCCCACATCTCTTTCACCATCAAGTGCCAAAGATCACACTCGGACTTCAGATTTGCTTCAAAAACATCCTTTTTGTACTTGACTTTTATCTTCAGGGTGGGAATCTTGAGGAGAAGAAAAGTGACAGTGCTATTCCTCACTTCCTGCAGGGGGAACGTAGAAAAGGAAGAGCTGAGAACCACAATAAGGCTACACACACACATTTGTTTTCATCTTTTCTCATAACCGCCTTCCTCCCCGAAACTCTCATGGGGTGAAGGTAATTGGGGGCTCTCCAGTTGTTTTGCTACCAATGTCAGGAGCCCCAGCCCGCTGAGGACTTAGGTCTAATACATCTGGGAGGCCCACAGTGTCCTGTTGTGTATTTTTCAGTGTTGAAAATCTATTCTCCCTCCAGATTGGGAAAATCTATTTTTTCTCTGGATCTTCAGTTCTGGCCACTTTTTACAGGAGGCACAATTGAGAGCGTTTTAACAAACTGCATCCCCGTTTGGTTTGATGGCAGCAGTGCCTCACATAGAAAGCCCATACAGAGAGTGGTGAGGACAGCGGAGAAGCTTACAGGAAGCTTGCTTCCTGTTATTCAGGATTCTGCTTACAAGCGCTATGTGCTTAGAGTTCGAAGCATTGTTAGAGAACCCACACACCCACTTTACGGTCTGTTTCTCTTGATCTCTGGGAGGAGATTTCAAAATATCTATAGCAGGACTAACAGATTCTGTAACAGCTTTGTTTTGATCACGTGACCACGGGGATGACCACGGGGATCACGTGACCAAGGGTCGTGAGTGTGAAAAATGGATATAAATCCCTTTTTTTGGGTCGTTAGAACTCCGAACAGTCCCAAAACGAACAGTCGTAAGTTGAACGCAACTTTTGTTGAGCTCACCTCTATATCCCTGAATGTTGCGATCTCTTGATAGCCGGGACAAGCGCCTTCCATCAAGAGAAACAGGCGTTTCGGGGTCAGTGCGATTTTGCCAACTCCTTTGTTCGTTTTCACCGAGTTGGATAACTTGTAAACACATTCGTTTTTGTCCAGGTGTTCCATGACTCTGGGCGGCAAGGCGACATCCTGGGCTTCTGCTTCTGTTTCCTTCCAGTAGGTATAAAAATCTTTAAATGTTTCCGGGTCAATTTGTTTTTGCTGCCCTTAAAAATGAAGAAAATGTTTACCGTAATGAACGTTTGTAGATCTCCTGTACATCAAATGTTACATAAAGAGAGGGAAAGTGTCGGCTGCCCATTTTAAGTAAAATTTTAAGTAAAATTTTAAGTAAAATTTTAAGTAAAATTTTAAGTAAAATTTTAAGTAAAATTTTAAGTAAAATTTTAAGTAAAATTTTAAGTAAAATT